GTGTATGATTTAAGAGCCCCTGAAAACAAGGTTTGAATCATTCTTCTTCACCCTCCCTTGATTCAAACTCCATAACTCCCAGCTTGTATCTGAAGTAGACAAACTTCTCTCTGGACAATGCCTTAGTGAATATGTCTGCAAGTTGTTCATGAGTGCTGCAGTATTCAAGGCTTACTTGCTGCTGTATAACCATCTCTCTATTGAAGTGATACTTTAACTCGATGTGCTTAGAACGACTATGCATGACAGGATTTTTGGATAAATTGATTGCAGACTTATTATCACAATAAATCACAGTGGGCTCACTTTGTCTAAACCCGAGATCCTCAAGAACTCTACGAAGCCAGATTGCTTGACAAGTAGCACCTGTAGCAGAGATGTACTCTGCTTCAGTACTTGATAGAGCTACAGTGCTGCTTCTTTGAACTCCAAGCAACAGCACCACTTCCTAGTGAGAAAATGTATGCTGAGAGGCTCTTTCGATCATCAACGCAACTGGCCCAGTCACTATCACTGTATCCCACCAACCTGATCCCTGCAGACTGCTTATACCATATTCCAAAGCTCGTAGTACTGCCAATGTACCTTAAGATTCTTCGAGCAGCTCCATTCCCTGCTTGAACTCACTGATCAAGTTATCACAAGAGGATGTGCAGATGATATCATCTACCTATAAACACACATAAATGACATCACCTGTATTATTCCTTTTGATGTACAAAGTAGGCTCATTGTGACTCCTTTTATAACCATGCTCCATGAAGTACCCATCAATCTTTGCATACCAAGCGCGTGGAGCCTGCTTTAGGCCATACAAGGCCTTATTTAGTTTGTAAACCATGTCTGCCTTACCTTGAACARCAAATCCTTCCGGCTGTTCGACATATATTTCTTCAGACAGATCACCGTTTAGGAAGGCTGACTTCACATCTAGTTGGTGAACAAACCACCCCATCTGAGCTGCTACAGCAAGAACTACTCGTATGGTTTCAAATCGAGCAACTGGAGCAAACGTCTCTTGAAAATCAATACCTTGTTGTTGAGAGTAACCCTTGGCCACTAGCCTTGCTTTGTGCTTTACTACTTCACAATTAGCTCCAAGTTTGGTTTTGAATAACCATTTAACCCCCACTTTGTTTTTGCCCGGCGGAAGAGATACCAACTGCCAGGTTTGGTTTTTTTCAATGGCCAACAATTCTGCATGATTGCTTCATGCCACTTCTTATGTTTAGAGGCTTCATTGTACGTGAGTGGGTCATAAACATTAAGAGCAAATTGACAAGAAGCAATCTCACCTTCTTCTTCAGACAACCCTTCTCCACTATGATAGCCTTTAAGCCATGATGGAGGATTAATTCTTCTTCTCACAGGACCAGATGTATGTGTGGGTGTGGAGGTAGTAGTATGGGTTGGTTGATTGGTGTAGGAGTTGACTCAAGGGTAGTAGGGGAAGTACTAGTATCATTAGGGATAGTACTAGTAGATATGATAGGTGATTCACCAGGAAATGGGTCAATAAAGGTATAGGAGTGTTTGAGTGTTGCTTTCTCTTGGCCCCACACCCACTTAGAATCTTCAAGGAAGACTACATCTCTCTTGGTAGAGATCTTTTTGGTGTCAGGGTTGTACAATCTGTACCCATGGCTTTGACTTAGGTAGCCAATAAAAATATTTTTTTCAGACTTGTTGTCTAACTTCTTTTTCAGCTGAGAAAGAATTAAGCCATATGCAATACAACCAAAGACTTTCAAGTGAGAGACAGTAGGTTTTTTACCTGTCCAGGCTTCATATGGAGTCTGATTCACAAGAGCTTTAGTAGGTGATCGATTAAGCATGTAGATGGCAATAGCAGCAGCTTCAGCCCAAAGGAAATTAGGTAGCTCTCTTTCCTGCAGCATGCTTCTTGTCAAATTCATGACCGTTCGATTATTTCTTTCCCCTACACCGTTATGCTGAGGGGTGTAGGGAATGGTAAGTTCTCTTTTGATTCCAGCTTTTTCACAGTAGGCATTAAATTCTTGTGAACAAAATCCCCCCCCCCCGTCTGAGCGAAGGACTTTGATGAAGCACCCACTTTCTTTTTCAACCATTACTTTAAAGAGTTTGAATTTATCAAATACTTCATGCTTGTTAGCCAAGAAATAGACCCAACACATTCGATTTAGATCATCAATAAAAAGCAGGAAGTACAAACTGTCACCTAGGCTTGGGACTTGCATAGGTCCACACAAGTCTGTGTGAATCAACTCCAGTTTGTTTCTTGCACGCCACGATGTGGACTGGAAGGGATACCTTGCTTGTTTACTTGTAATACATGCTTCACAAATTACAGATGTGTTGAGTTTAGGCAGCCCCCACACCATCTTCTTGTTGTATAGATGTTTAGCCCTTCAAAGTGCAGGTGGCCAAATCTGCAATGCCAACGAAGTGCTTCAGCATCAAATTTGGAGATGAGAGCATGAGCTGAAGTCATCCTTGTTGCATCGAAAATAAACATGTTATTTGCCACTGCAACCTTCATCACAATCTTCCCTGTTGCTTTACTCCTGATTACACACATATCATCATCAAATTGTAGTGAATAACCATTCTTCATGAGTTGCCCAACACTGAGAAGGTTGTATTCAAGCTTGGGGGCATAATAGACATTGTCTAGTATCTTGAATGTACTRTCACTTGTATAAATCTTGACAGTCCMTTTTCCTTTAACAGCCAATTTCTTTTTGTCACCCAATCGCACTTCCAAATGGAATGACTCATCCATGCTCACAAAGTTGTCTTTGAATCCTGTCATATGATTTGAACAACYAGAGTCAATGAACCACAAATGATTAGAGTTATCGGATTTACCAGTGTTGGTCACTAGCATGTATTGATCATCGAAGACRGACTCTTRTGGTGAGATAACAGCCAGTAACAAATGTTGGTCATCTGTTTCTGCAGCTTCTCCATTTTCTTCATTTTCTGCTACATTGACTTGATTTTCATCGTTATACCAGCAATCCTTTTTTAAGTGGCCAAACTTTTTGCAGACATAGCATTAAGGGACCTTGCTTCTGTTAAAGCCGCCCCTTCCACGAACTGCTCCTCTTCCTCTTCCTCTTCCTCTAAAGCCTCGATCACGTCCTCTTCCACGTGAGAATCTGTTTGGTTCTTGAACTACCTGTAGAGCCTGCTCATCTTGTCGATCAGGTGTCTTAAGCGGTTTATCAAGAGAGGCTCGACTGTTGATTCTTTCCTCTTGAGACTGTAGAAGTCCCATAAGCTTAACGGGGGTGACATCGGACAGATCAAACACCACTTCTATGGATGGTATTACATAGTCAAACTTAGGAGACAAACTCCTAAGAACTTTCTCAACAATCTTCTGATCTGTAAGTTCTTCTCCGTATGATCGTTACTGACCAACATTATCCATAACACGAGAGAAGTAGTCACCTACTACTTCGTCATCTTTCATAGATAGATTTTCAAATACCCTCCGTAATCCTTGCAACTTAACTGATTGGACTTGAGAATCACCCTGAAATTCTATTCGAAGAACCGAATAGAATTTCCCATGTATCATTTGCAGAGTCGGCCGTCGCAATTCTGGAAAACAGGTTGTCATGTACACCCTGCTGAATGAGTGTCATAGCTTGAGCGTCTTTCCTTTTTGCCTCTCTATTATCGCCGTCTCCGCCATTTGTTGCTGAGAGACCCAGGTATACCACATCCCACAGATCTCGTAATCGAAGGATAGTTTTCATACGAAGACTCCAGTGTTCATAACCTTCTCCTTTGAATACTGGAATGATCACAGAGGTAGTGTTTGATGTACTCGACTCAGCCATTGGGAGATGAATCAAGGAAGATGCCAACCTTGCTCTAATACCACAAATGTCGGTATAAGAACACAGATAGGATCGATTAACAAGAATAGAAGAGCAAAGTATTTTGGTAATCAGGGAACTCTTGTATTCAAGAATGCTTTTTGAGTACATGCAATCATGGAGAACAAACAGACTTTAAATAGGAAAGAAGCATATGTAAAAAACTCAACCCTAAAGAATAGCACAACCTAACTGCAAGACCCGTTAGGCATTTTATTCAAAAAACAAATTAACTCCATGTGTATGATTTAAGAGCCCCTGAAAACAAGGTTTGAATCATTCTTCTTCAGTAGGTTCTTATGTCCTCTTTTACTAACTTTGTTTGATCCTCTTGTTACTAAACCAAAAAACATCCGTTTACGAAAACATTTTAGTTCTCTTTTACAAGGCGGTGGAAATGGCCTCAATAGTGGAAGAAAGGAATAGGGTTGTAAACCAAGGCTGAGGATTCAAGTCGTTATACACCAGTGCGAAAGGCGTACGAAAATGCAAACGAGAAGAGGGTAGTGACAAGAGCAGTTGGAACAAGTGGAATGATTTCAAAATTGAGGAAATTGACCGATAAAGAACCGATGGGAAGGAGGCAGCAAGGTCTTTGCTATAGATGTGATGAAAAATATGCACCAAGCCATACTCGACCGAACTCAGCATTTTGGTGTTACAAGGTGCGGATAGTGGGGTTTAAAAGGACCGGAAGAAGAGATAGAAATGGTCAATCTAAACCAAGTCAACGATGTAGATATTTCATTGTATTTAGTAGTGGGATTTTCGACCCCAAGAACGATGAAGATGGAAGGCTGGATCGGGGAACAAAAAGCCGTAGTACTCACTGGCAGTGGTGCGTCTCACAACTTCATTGCGAGACGATTAGTGGAAAAGTTGGGAATCCAAGTGTACCCAACCGAAGGATACAACATTTCCATTAGGACAGGAGAAGCAATGAAGGGCCAAAGAGTGTGTAAAGGTGTAAGAGTTTGGGCACAGGGAGTGGAAGTTTGTGAAGATTTCTTACCACTGGAACTAGACATTATCATATGTATAGGCATGCAGTGGTTGTCTACGTTGGGCACCATGCATGAAAATTGGAACCCTTAGATCATGAAATTTCAATTGAAAGGGGAACAAATCAAATTAAAAGGAGATACATCTCTGGGCCGATCACTAGTATCTTTGAAGTCGATGTTTAAGACAATAAAACAAGAAGCTCAACGGTGTTGATAGAATTTGGGCAGGTCGAACTACCCGAGATAGATCACAGCCGATGTACGGCATGAATTGCGGAAGTGGTGGAACAATTTCAAAAAGTGTTTCAATGGCCTAACAAATTACCACCTAAAAGAGGAAGAGAACACGTGATTAACGTGAAGGAATGGAAAATGTCAATGTTCGGCATACTGATATCCATAATATCAAAAAGATAGAGATCGAAAAGCTAGTAAAAAAGATGCTAGAGGCATGAATTGACAAAGCCAGAGTTCATTTTCAATCCCAGTCTACTTGTAAAAAAAAAGATGGCAGTTGGCGTTGTTGCATTGATTATAGAACTCTCAACAAAGGTACAATTCCAAAGAAGTTCCCTATTCCTGTAATTGATGAGTTACTAGATGAATTGAGGGGTGCAAGTTATTTTTTTCAAAGTTGAACTTAAAGTCAGGCTACCATCAAATTAGGAAGAAGGATGAGGATGTCCCTAAAAGGACGTTTAGAACCCATAAAGGCCATTACAAATTCCTAGTAATGCCTTTTGGGTTAATCAATGCCCCCGCCACGTTCCAAGCCCTGATGAACGAGAAATTCAAGTTCTTTCTGAGAAGGTTCACTCTAGTTCTCTTTGATGATATTTTGGTTTACAGTAAGACTGAAGAACATTGTTTGCATAACTTTCCAAGTATTATTTCAATATCGTTTGTACGCTAACAAGAAAAAATGTGAGTTCAGGAATAAGGAACTGCGATATCATTTCAAGGGATGTGGTGGCAATGGACAACACTAAACTAAACTGGAAGCCATGATAAGTTCGCCGCCGCTTAAGAATGTCTCACAATTGAGGGGTTTTTTAGACCTATCGGGTTATTACAGAAAATTCATAGCACGTTACGAGAATATGATGCGTCCTTTGACAGATCTTAAAAAGAAAAGTTTTGAATGAAATGATGAGGCTACAAGTGCTTTTGAAGCCCTCAAGAAAGCACTAACACAAGCTCTTGTTTTAGCTTTGCTAGACTTCGAAAAACTGAGAAACTGATGCTTCGGGCAGTGGCCAGTGAATTAAGGGTTGTCCTAATGTAAGAAGAAAGACCTTCTGCTTTCCATTGTCAGGTGTTAGGCATGCAAGCTTGACAGAAACCATGAAAAGGAGTTAATGGTTATAGTCTTTGCGGTTATTAAATGGCGGCCTTATTTGTTAGGTCGATGATTTCAAGTGAGAATCAATCTGAAAAGTTTGAAAAGAGCACCGTGTGGTTTACCATCAGCATTAAGATCAAATGAATGGATACAATTTCGACATCATTTACAATCTGGGAAAAGCAACTTAGCAGATGATGCTTTGTCCAAAAGGGAGATAGTGCGTGCAGCACTTGTCGGACCACAACGGAGAAATTGGGATGTAATGAAGAAAGAAGTAAGCCATGATGTGGTGTTGGGAAAGCTCATACAGGAGTTATTAGTAGGATTCGATGATCACAAAGGGATTACGGTAAGACACAATTTACAATTGTACAAAGACAAGTTGGTGTTACCGCGTATGTCTTAGCTCATCAAGACAATCCTGGAGGAAGTTCATGCCTCGCCAATGGGGGGACATTCGGGAGTAGAGCGAACCTACCAAAAGATAGAATTCAAACTATTTTGGGGAGAAATGAAGGCAGTATTAAAGATTTTGTAAGAAATTGTGAAACGTGCCAGCGTAATAAATCGTTAGGTTGATCTCCAGCAGGCCTGTTGCAACCATTGGCTTTACTGATGCAAGTTTGGGAGGAAGTAACAATGGATTTTGTGGAAGGGTTACCAAAATCAAAAGGGATGGATACAATTATGGTTGTCGTGGATAGACTGAGCAAGTTTGCTCATTTCCTGATTCTTAAACATCCTTTTACTGCTCAAAGTGTTGCATTCTGTTCACAAAGGATAGTGTGTGACAGAGATAAGATTTTTTTAAGTAATTTCTGGAAGGAAATCTTTTGTTTACAGGACACAAGGTTGGCGTTTTCGACTACTTACCACTTACAAACCGGCTGGCAATCGGAAGGGTTAACAGATGTGTAGAGCAGTACCTCCGGTGTTTTGTATCATCACAGCCAAGGAATTGGAAGAAGTGGTTGTCTTGGGCCGAGTATTGGTACGATACAACATTTCATGTCGCCTTGTAGAGCTCTCCTTTAAAGGCATTATATGGTAGAGATCCACCACTTATTCTTAAATACGAAGAGGGTAAAGCCACGGTACAAGTTCTAGGAGATACATTAATAGAAAGGGAAAACATGTTAGATGAGATCAAGTTCAAGCTGCTGCGAGCTTAAAAGCAAACGAAATGACAGACCAATAAGCAGGGTGGAGGCACAATTTACGGTAGGGGATTTGGTGTTCTTGAAACTGAGACCCTACAGGAAAAATTCATTATGTTCGAGGTAGAATCAAAAGTTGGCTCAACATTATCGGTCAGAATCTGTCTTTGCCCGACATTTGCCCACAATTAAACGAAGAAGGTGTGAGAGAGGTGGAGCCAGAACAGAGTTGTTGTAGTGTAGAAATAGTTCAGCAGGTGAACTGAAGGTGTTAATCAGATGGCACAGTTTACCTATGTTTGAAGCTACGTGGAAATTTTTGTTGTGTCTAACAACAGTTTCCCCATTTTCACCTTGAGGACAAGATGTGTCTTTGGCAGGCAGGTAGTGTTAGACCAGATATATGTGTCACCTATTCTAGAGGGAATAAGAGGCAAGGATAAATCAGTCTTTTCAATTGTAGTGAGTTGTTAGAGAGTTGATCAGCACCAACTGTTGTATAAAGTAGGTGGTGAAAGAATTAAACAGGTATGCAGATAATAAAACAAAATTCGTTGGTAGAGTTACTCTACCTCTCGAAAGATGGGGAATCCATTTGATTCTTGAATAATATTGAAGAATTGATCGATAGTTTCTTTTTTTGTTAAGCAACTCTAAACACCATCATTGTAGAATTTTATGCTAGTTCTTGAATTGCTGAGGCGCAAGAATCGATTAGGTTTATTGATTGAAAGAGATGAGCGACTGATCTTGGATATGATTGCCAAACGTGTGAAGTGGGAGGGTGATTGAGAGGGATTACTTAAGAAGACGTAAAGAGCAAATAAGTGGTCGCTTAAACTCTTATCAAATCAAATAAGGGTTTAAGCTCTTATCACATAAAAAAACTTAAATGAATTTATAAGACTAGCATTTTATTCGACATGATATAAGTAGTAATTACGAGTTTCTTAAAAAAACAAGGGTCTTATTCAGTTTAATTGAAATCTTATAAATTAAATGTTGGATCAAAATTATATATATTTTTGAAAAATGGAATCTTTTATATAATAAAAAAGGAAGAACCACGCACAATGACACGGTGTATTGCTCGATCAGGGATCTCCACAGAAATTCTCCATCATAAATAGAACTCACCAGAAGTTCTCCAATTATATCATCAAACAAACATTTCAGCTATCATTTATAATTTTTCTTCAACAATCACAAAAACACACCTTTGACTTCCAGAATGCTGCAACATTGTAAAGAAGGCTTCTCGTCGTCATCGCTCTCTTTGCAGCAGTAACCATTTCAACCTAGTCTATGGCTAGGGCACCTTCTCCCAACATAGGTGCGACATTCTCTATCTTGGTTTCTGGACCGTCTATACTCTGGTCTTTTGTCGCTCTATTCAGGAATTGATTTTTCTTCTTCATTCTCGAGGATTCAATGAATATATGCGTTTCAGGTTTCTAGAACTGTGATCAACTATTGATGCAGAGTGTAAGGAAAGAGAAAACTTGTAGTTATAATTGGCTTCTAAGGATTGGATTGTAATATGTATATGGATGTACAAGTCTTTAATGCATGATGATATCCATACGGATTATACGGTAGATAATCTCCATGGGGTGGTTGTACTAACGGATGAGACTCTTGATTTGGGCTTGAGAGGTGGCAAAGTATTACATTGTATAAAAATGAAATGTTTTTTTCTAAAAATGACGACACTTTTGGTAAAATCAAACGAAAAAAAAAAAAGTATGAAATGTTGAGAGGCAAAATATTGGTTCATCTTTTGTAATTAATTTTTTTGTTTGAAATAAAACTTTACTTGGATTTCGTCCTCTTCTGCAGTGGCAGACCCAGGATATTTGCCGGGCGGATGCACCTTTAAATTGGATCAAATGCCCGCAAAGCCGCTCAATGTGTTTTTAGCTGAATTCCACCGTTTCGAGCGATTTTTTAAATTCTTTGGTTGATTTTGAGGGATTTTTGTGAGTTCTTTTGGTTGATTTCGAGGGACTTTCGGTTTTTTGAGTTGATTTCATAAAATTTCTCAACTTATAGGATTTGATTCTTGTTATCCTTTACTTTTTTTTTCCTAGGTTTCTAATTTTGTTTCCTTATGCATCTAGGATTTTAGTACTAAATAGAATGTTCTACAAACTAAAATCAACTAACCAATTTAAAAGAACCCTAGATTGATTAAACAAATTAGCATCAACAAGACGACAACTAAGGTTGAGAAAATTAAAAATAAGCTAGAAAATTAACATCAAATTAACATATACAAGGCAAATCTAGAATTTAAGCAAATCTCAGTTAGGGGCGTAGGGCAATGGATGCAAACAACAAACAATATAACAAATAACAATCAAACAATTTGCAATAATTAATAAGGCGAAGGAAGCAACAAAAAACTGAATCAGATTTAGGTGAAAACACTGATTAAATTTAGAGGGGGGATAGGTCAATAATCAAAACTCAAATATAAAAACTCAAAACAAACAAATATATCATGTAAACATAATTGTACAGCATTATAACTGATCATTTTAGCACAAATGATTAATATCATATTTGAGGCAAAAATATAAATTTGACCAAAACCTGAATGAAAGATCGAGCGAATGATTGAGTGAGTGAGACTGTCTGTGAGAGCTTGAGAGAACTGGCCGTAGCCGGCGGAAGGCGGTGAGGGGCGGTGAGAGCGAGGGTGAGGCCGTGAAGGGGAAGAGAGGCAGGGCATTGTTTTAACTCATTTGGAGCTGTTTTGTTTTAAAAGAAAATCAAAAGTTATAGTTTGGTCCTCCATCTTTGTATTTTTGTTTAATTAATGCACATTTTACAAAAATAATTACTACCTATCTAAGATGTTTGTTTTTTAAAAAATATTGAAGTTCAGATTAAAAGAGATTAAAAGGTTTTTTTTTTTAAACATGATTTGGTGCAGAATGATTAAGTGGTCAAAATGATTAAGATGCTCTTATGATATAGTACAAAATGAAATATAATTGTTTGGTAATTGTTTACAATAAAATTAAGGCGTTGAATGGTTAAGGGAAGCTCACGATACAAAATCATTCAGAGTATTTTAGAACCATTAAGAGGTAAACAAACAGACTTTAAGGGGCTGTTTGGCAGTTGCTGAATGATTTAGTGCAGAATAGTTAAAAGGTTAGAATGGTTAAGAGGGTCAGAATGGTTAAGTGTTGAATGAAATAATGTTGTTTGGTAACTGTTCTCTGAATGACAATAAATTACCATTTTAACCCTCTGAAAGATTTAGGATGTATAATCATGATTTCACAACCAAGTTATGCATATACAGCAAACAGACCTATGCATATACCCATTTAAAACTCATCCTACATATAAACAGCCCTAATTAACAAATAGCCCTAATTAATCTGGTAGAGGGAAGTAGTAGGGGAAGCGATGAAATACCTGGAAAAGGAAGGTATAGGAAGCAGTAGGGCGAACGGAGGAATAGCTAGAAGACGGCGACAAGAGGAGCAGCTAGAAGACGTCGACCGGATGAGACGACCGGAAAAGCGACCGGGGGGGGGGGAGACGGTGAACGGAAGAATGACGATTGTGGGGGATGCGATGTGAAGCAGCTATTGTAGAGGGCTGTGGAAGGCCGGAGATGGAGACGGTGGAGGTGACCGGAGATGGAGACGGTGGAGGCGACAACCGACGAAGCTGTGGAAGGCCGGAGATGGAGACGGTGAAGGTGACCGGAGATGGAGATGGTGGAAATCGTGAAGGGGGAAGGATTGTGAAAGCGACGCTAGAAGAGAGGAGTGGGAAGGGTAAAGATGGAACAAATGATATCTGAATGGTTGAGTGAAGTCCTAGACACAAAATGGTTAAGAGGGTCATGTAACCATTAAGAGGTTTTTTTTTTTTTTGCCAAAGAGCCTTTATCTCTTACCGATTAAGAGGTTGGCTCTTAATGTCACCATTAAGAGCCAAACAAACAGCCCCTAAGTATAAAACATAAAATGGATCAGATTTAATAAAAAATGTTGTAACTGGCTACATATTTTCTAATAAAAAATGTTGTAAGTAGCTACATATTTTCTAATAATTTTGGAAACCTTAAATATTACGAATAATTATTATTTGTTGCAGAAAATAATAGGGATGATGATTTGCCCCGACTCAGTGGGGAACCCGGTTCATCTGACCCGAACAAGGACGGGAATTCCCAACTAAACCTGGTAGACTCAAACTGTGGACGGGGCCGGGGGATGTTACTCAAACCGGGGCCGAGGCCGAGGCCGAGGATCCCCAGTAGAATCAAACTAACGTATATTATTCAATAGGATTTAACGGGTAATTGATAGAGGTTTGACCGGGAACGGGATCTTAATCCTCGTACCTGCTAGAGACTGAAGCCGGAAGATGTTGCTATAAATCAGAACCGGGACCGAGGATTACAAAACCCGCTCCGTAGCGGTACCTAGGAAATAAGGGTGGCATCGAAGCTTCCATTCAATTTCGTCACGTGTTGTGCGACTTCCTCTAATTACAACACGCCGGACCACAGCTCATGATTGTTGACCAATATTATAATGTAATATTCTCACTTTGCCACCTCTACCTTTCGAACATAAATTCATGAGGTGTCTCATAATTCCTTTGTTTCTTATAGAGAGGTTCTCTTTTATTCTCCGAGGTTGTATTTTGTTGGTTTAAAAACAAATAATTCTATATATATATATAGACTTGGGATCATGTGAGACCAATGGTTTTTCGTGAGACCCATAAGACCAATTATCAACCCTTGGATTAGATCTATAATCTCAATATTATTAATCACAAAATTTGCCACGAGAGTTCTCAATAATTACAAAATTGTCATCGTGCAACTTTAAATCATTAGATCATTAGTTTATAAAGTTGATCAATGAACATAAATTGGTCTCACGGGTCTCATGAAAAACTCTTGGTCTCACGTGAACCCAACCCTATATATATATATATATATATATATATATATAGAGAGAGAGAGAGAGAGAGAGAGAGAGAGGGAATATCAAATGTTAACCAACAATTTTGTGTTAACTTTACAAACCATATCAACCAATCAAATTTCATCCTTTTAGTAGGTTTATGTCATATTCCCAAGTTAATTACAAGGGTATTTCAGTAAATTGATTTGATATGTAACTCCCAAACAATTAATGGGGAGTTACAAATCATCAAATCAATTTACATATGCATTTATAATATTAATATATATATATATATATATATATATATATATAATATTTTTTAATCTTGATTTTCCATGTTCATTGTTTTATGAGTTTTTAATTCGCATAAGAAACACTATAATAAAATTTTCGGTATCGATCAAACTAATATGGATAAACGCAATGGAAAAGAAATCGACAACAGTGAGAAGATTAAAACGGTTGATGATGACAATTGGAGTTTGAGTTCGGGAAGTGAAGAAATTAACCAAAGCGAATGTCTTGGTAATAGATTAATATTTTTATTAGAAAAATGAATTATGTTCATTACGATGTGTTGTGTTTTTTATATTTCATCTTGTATTGATAGTTTTTTTTTCTTTAATTGCACCACTTGTTCATAGCATATATGTTATGTGTTCATATTATTTCTACGATAATCTCTCACCATATGGCTTGTTCATGTTCATTACTCGTTCATACTGTGTTCATATTTCTACGATATTTCTACGGTACTATTGTTCATGTTCATCACTCGTTCATAATGTGTTCATATTTCTACGATATTTCTACGGTACTATTGTTCATGTTCATCACTCGTTCATAATGTGTTCATATTTCTACGATATTTATACGGTACTATTGAACAAGGGGTGAACAACCATATAAGATCAGAAACATATATGAACAAGGGGTGAACCTTAAACGGTGTGGATGCAATGCATGTATAAAACTCCAATTGACAAAGTATCGCTCTTGAATGTGTTTATAATGAAGGAACTATTGTTACAAGCTGTTCATATCGTGTTCATACATGTTTTTTTATTTATTTCCTTACGTATAGCAGTTATTCTTATTATGTTCATATTGTGTTCATAAATGCTATGCAGTCCAAGTTCATATGTATGTCAAATTTTTGTTCGTATTTGACACAATGATTCATATATATATAGTTGTGTTCATATGGTTCTTACATTAACAAAAAAATCATAGAATTTTTGATTTTGTAACTCCCAATTAATTAATGATATGGGAGTTACATACATTTTTTTTACCTAAATACCCTTTTCAACATTGTTCATTTATCTTTATGCAATTTTAAATTTAAAAAAATAAGTTTTTATCATGATTAATCACAACCGTTTATTGAAAGATTRAATGRYCAAGATYGDTTAACAAAGTTAACACAAAAACTTTGGTTAACATTTGATCTTACCCCTATATAGATATATATATATATACATATATATATAGAGGAGCGTTCAAATAAAAACCACCCAATTTGTACAAACCGTGAAAACTACATTCAATCAATCATAATTTTTCATTTTGTTCATTTTTTTGTAATTATGAGAGGTTGATTAACCATTTTTATTGTAGAGGGTGTTAATCATGGATATTATCATCTTCATTATTTTAATTTTAGAGAAATACATGAAACAGTTTTTATTAAAATTTCATTAAATATTATATGAAACAATTTCATAACCATATATGAAACAAATTCATAAAAAAAAATATTATATGAAACAATTTCACAAGATTAAACAATTTCATGAAAAGATTTCATAAGATTAAACAATGAAATCGACGTATGAGGGTGGTTTATACGGTTTGTACAAATGAGAATGGTTTTCATTTGATCGCTCCTATATATATATATATATATATATATATATATATATATATAATCACAAATGAATAATTGTGAATATGTTGTTAATGACAATTAACAAATCTCTTTTGCAAAATACTTCAAAGTCGTATTATTATTTTGCATTTTAAATTGAAACAATTTATAAAAGAGTAAATTAAAATTTTCATCCTTATGGTTACCAAAAGTTTTGGATTGGATCTTCCATGAAGAACGTAGCAAAATGCGATACTTGGTGTGAATTACAGAATCTTGTGAACCATCGAGTTTTTGAACGCAAGTTGCGCCCGAAGCCATTCGGCCGAGGGCACGTCTGCCTGGGCGTCAAGCATCACGTCGCCCCAGACCACGACTTCCCGATGGGGATTCGTTTCGTCTGGGGCAAAGACTGATCTCCCGTGCCTTTGGTGCGGTTGGCCTAAAAAGAAGTCCCCTTCGGCGGACGCACGTATATAGTCATATGGTTTCACTTTTGTTTTGAATTGGTTCCCTTGACCTAACTCCACAAAATGCTCAATTGAGTTAAGGGTAATATCGTCTTTCAACACTTCCCACACTTCAGTTTTCCAACAAAATCGTTCCTCACACTGCAACTATGACGATTCCACCTACAACTCCATCTAGGTCCAAAAACATAAAAATTGTAAAAGGCCTCATAAAAAATACTAGATTGGGCCTTCTTTTTGTAACTGTGGGTTCAAACTCGCAGCACTAACTAGGAGACCATGAATGACCTGGAATCATCGTACAAATTGAGCTTTTGGTGACCCTTGAAGAAAACTGTAGGCTAAACACAAGTGTTCTACAGCATCATTATATTTCATTAGTTAATAAAGGAGGTCAAATCCAAAATGTTACATCACACAACTTAACAAAAATGTGAAAAATACAAGAATCGCGATAATATTAGGATTACACGCAGGAATGCCATTGCTGTTGATGGCAGTTTTCCATGTTTAAGAATCTTCTATTTCAGAATCTGACCCTGTATCCGATTGCGTCTCCACAGGTATTCTTCTATTTGTGTTGGCTTCCAATGGGGGCAGCCCATCGTCTTCACTAGAATCCAACTCGTTTTCCTCTGTTGTGGTTGAAGGGTTTCTTTGAGAGTTTCCATTGGAACTGTCCACTATGGTCGATTTGAAGATTTCTGGCCTGCATTAATAGGCAGCATTAGGGGCCAACCCTTTGATACTAGCAGTTTGAGTATTTGATTAACAAACCGACTTCGACACTTACTTTGTAAATCATCAGCCAATTTGGGTTATATTTGATGTTCAATGGATCAATCAAATAGGTTAAGCTTATAAATTGGCTAAAAATGAACTGGGCCAAAAGTCACGCAAAGTGTATTCAAATGCTTACAACCTCCAAAATGACTTTACTAGGAAAAAAGGATTATTACATTAACAGTATAGCTTTTTTAAGTATATAATGCTTATATATGCCAAATACTCATGCCCACTCCTTACCTTTGGTGAGGCTTAAACCCTTGACATCAGGGGAGTACCCGGGTACACCCGGGCCAGAGACCTTTATAAGACTATAGGATGGGTAAAAAAATTGTTTGTATGCCAACCGCACAGTTCTTGACCTGTATTTAGAACTTACATATTTTGGCCCGTTAACCAATCCATTCGACCCACCCATTTTGCCACCTCTATGGCGAGAACTTGCAAATAAAGTATTCCTTTGAGAATATGGGTATTTAGGTTCTAGTTATTAACTTCTGATAATTAACGATCTCAAAATGAGTCCTATTTGTGACCCAAACAAAAGAAAGCCAACATTCATTTGGTAGGTCAATAGAGAAACTAACCATTCTGGAGATTTTTGTAACACTTTGACTTGTTCATGGAAAAGAACTTGAAGAACAACGCAAGCCACTTTTCTTCCAGATTCAACAGCTTCCTCTCTCCCACTATCATCAACCACAACAAAACTACCTGACATTTTACAAAAAAATTATACAAAATTACCACAGGAAAATTGTGTATTAACTTACATGTTTTTTTCCCAAAAAAGGAATTGTAGTGAGATATGGTGGTATCCCATTGTTGCTATGACTGGCCCTATATATATATATATATATTCACATATACTTGTGTCTGTATGTGTGTGTATATGTATATGTTATATGAATGTAGTCAGGGTCATATGTGAGAAATTTTCGCTTTTGTAAGAAGGTGAGAACAAGTGGAGATACCTTTATATTTAAGTTATATTGTGTGTAAGATTGTAACTTTCACATCACCTTTGTTTGTATATTGGAATGTTAGATCACATTGTGTAAATGTTGTAACATTCACACAATGTAAAGGTACCTTTATGGTTCTCACGACAAACCTTCACAAGATATAAAGAGATCTTCAATTTTTTCTCACATTTTCACGAAAAGGGTTGTTCCCAACCCTATAAATGTGTGTGCATATGTATCCTCAATCCGGCAAAGAATTATGTAGATGGGTCCGAGTTACCTCGTTTTATCCACATGCTTTTCTGAAATTTAGCTGGGAAAAACGCCAAGGCCTTTTCTCCTTTGGCATCAGTTACCTGAACTTATAAAGTACCAGATGAAAATGAAACAGTCAAGTATTGAAACAAGCACGAGTGATGGAGATGTGGTTAACAGGCATTGCTATACCTCGATTGAATTGGATCCTCGCAGAGAAACGACTTGCATAATGCTTTGGCCTGGTTGAAGAGTTAATGTCTCATCATTAACCGCCCTCTTCAGATTCTTCCTTCCACCTTTTGTAGCCATTTTTCACTTTGATCCCACTTGTAGATTATGAAGCTCGGTGTACAATCAAACAGACTTCCTATGACTACTTCTGGATCTAAAACCTCCTTAGCTGCAAATTCATTGATGACGCATCATGAGCTTGGTTAAATTGCAATCAAACCCGAACCTGAACAATCACTATTACACCATGTTAATCTTCTTGATGTTGGCAGGTTGGGTAATACTACCATTTACCTTTATAAACTTGAGCTAAATTATCCACTTCTCTTATGTCTTCATCGTTATAATGCCAATCAAACTGTGTGTATTGCAAAGTTAAAACTTTGGCTGGCGTAAACTTAGCAGAAACGGTTAACTATAAATCGATTTTCTAGGACTTCTCATTCAACTTATCACAACCTAAGTCAAATAACTCATTATCATGCTCTAACCTCTAACACAAACTTCAAATCGCGAACGCTCTTAAATGTTACTCAGATTAGGTCATTACTTCTCAATGAAATCAAAAATCAATGTAAAATAGTTCAGCAATTTCCCCTTTTGATAAACAAAACCAATCAGTCGTTCTCTAATCACAAGAAATCAAATCAATTAACCAGGTAATCAACCATGGCTAAATCCCTGTATCTTAATCTGTCAAATTCACAATACCACTTAACAAGAAATTCCAAAAAATTGAAGTAAAACCCTGTAAATGAAAATACCTGGCGTTGGTATTTTTTGAAGTCGTGAAGAATGGTATTAGAGGCCTTCACCCTCGGAACGTTGGGTGTTTGGTATTGAGCCTTGAGGAATGGACGTTGAGTCGTTTTGCGTAGCTAGGTCATGAAGTGGAAGTGAAGGCGGTGGTGGTTAGGCCTTTGGGAATGGTGATTTTTTGCGTATCTAAATGTTGTTTTGGGCCGAGTAATTGGTACAATAATATAACATTTCATGGCGCCTTGTAGAGCTCTCCTTTAAAGGCTATGGATGGACGTTTGGGATTGCTTATTTTAAATAAAGGGTAAAATGTATAAAATATTAATTTATTTTTATAAAATTTTTTATTATAGTATTGTATTTTCGGTTTTTTTTTTTACAACAATGTATTTTCAAACTATTTTTTATTAGGACATTGTACTTTGAAAATTTACCCATTATAACAATGGGTAACCTTTTGATTTAAATTTACTCATTATACTAGGTTTACATGTCACCTCATTATCCACGTAGGTTGTCTACATGTACTATAGTGATGTGACTTTCTCACTATATCATTGTACTTTCAAAATTATTTTATTATAGCATCTACTAGTTCTTATTAAACATTGTATTTTTAATTTTAATATTTAGATATTTTACATGTTATTTAATAAATGTATTAAATGAATTAAAAAAAATTCTAAATTAATCATTAATATACCAATATCAATAAAACTAGTAGAACACAACTTATCTCGCTAACATTTTTAAAAAAAATATGTGTTTTTTGAAAAAAAGGAAAATAAGAATTGTTCTCTTTTACCAAAAAAAATATTATCTTTTAAAGAATATATTATATTTGTTCAAAAACTTTTTACTTGACGTATAAATATATTAAATTAATTAGATTTTTTTGAATTATTTATTAATATAACAATATTAAAAAATTGTAGATAACAATTTATTTCGTTAATATTTTAAATAGAACTTTAAAAAAATATGTATTTATTTGAACAACATAAAATAAGAAAAGTTACATTTTTTACAAACAAAATATATCTCGAAAATAATGTTTCATATTTATTTAATAAATATTTTACTCTAAGAATATTTAATTTGAATGCAACTTAATAAGAAAAAGTAAAAAAAATTAAATGTTTTTTTAGATCATAACAATGAAAAATGAAAATCATTAATAATAATTTGAAATATATTTTAATTTTAATTTTAGTTAAGTCATCAAAATGATGTGGCATCCACATCACCTCGTTAAAACCACACAAGCAAAACAGTCAAAGAGTTAACCGGTTTAAAAGGTAACATGTTACTCATTGCTATTATGGGTAGATTTTTTAAAGTACAATGTCTTAATAAAAAATAATTTGAAAGTACATTGCTGTAATAAAAAAAAAAACAAAAGTATAATGCTATAATAAGAAATTTTATGAAAGTAGGTTGCTATTTCATGCATTTAACCCTTAAACAAATTATGCATTTTTATAAAAATCCTTATTAACTTATTATAAGTTATAATGGTTTAACTTTTTCAAAAACTTCTTATTACCGGTTTGGCACCGATATAAGTTGTTTATACAAACACTCAAAAGTGTTTATTACGCAATATCACATCAGAATAAGTCAATAAGTTATTTTTATAAACAATCTCAAACACCCCCTATATGGTAGAGATCCTCCAACTATTCTTAAATACAAAGAGGGTGCAAGTTCTAGGAGATATGTTAATAGAAAAGGAAAAACATGTTAGATGAGATCAAGTTCAAACTGCTGCAAGCTCAACAACAAACAAAACAACAGGCCGATAAGCAAGGTGGAGGCACGATTTACGGTGGGGGATCTGGTGTTCTTGAAACTGAGACCCTACTAAAAAAATTCATCATGTTCGAGGTAGAATCAAAAGTTGGCTCGACATTATGGTCCATTTGAAGTATTTGAACGAATTGGGAAAGTGCCCTATCAACTAAGGTCACCAAGCTCGACTCACATACATCTAGTGTTCCATATATCGCAACTAAAGAGGGCCATCGGTCGAAATCTGTTTTTGCCCGACATTCGCCCACAATTAAACGAATAAGGTGTGACAGAGGTGAAACCATAAGAGAGTTGTTATATTGCAGAAATAATTCAGCAGGTGAACTGAAGGTGTTAATCATATGGTACAGTTTACCTATGCTTGAAGCTACTTGGTAAATTTTTGTTGTGTCTAACAACAATTTCCTCATTTTCACCTTGAGGACAAGGTGCGTCTTTGGCAGGCGGGTAGTGTTAGACCAGATCTAGAAGAAATAAGAGGCAAGGATAAATCAATCAATTCAAAATGGAATAGACTCTTTGGTTTTCTGAACTTTTCTCTTATTTAAATTCAATAAAAATAGTTTTCTATAAATATCTTATTCATTAAAATAAAATAATTAATCATAAACAATTAACTTTTAGATTACACTATTTTAAGTTTTAAAAAAATTACGATGAAATTTTAATACTGATGCATATATGTAAATTACGATGAGATTTTGTCTAAGCACTTTGATTAATACATTGAACTTTGTATAAAATAGTAAACCCCCCCCCCCCCCCCC